AATAATTTAACAATCATATCGATTTTAGTATTAATATGGACATTACATAGATCAAAATAAAAATTAGGTGTTTGACATTTTGTGACAACTACTGCGGAAAGTAACATATTCTCACTCGGGTGGAAAGTAAATTCTTATTCATACGCGTGTGATATAGGGCACTTTCCATAGGACTATATAGTGTGATATGTGTCACTTTCCTAAGTGGTCGTAGGAAAAAATATTTTCGTATTCGCTAATTTACTTCTGTCATTATTTAAACGGATTCCTTTAAAATAGTCCTCTAATAATAATCATTTTTAAAGGGATGTTAAAATTAACTTTTAATTTTTAACGGAACCTAGAATGGCGTTTTATGATGTAATTGAAAAAAAAAAAATTGGATTGAAGAGTTACTGGAAAATGAACAAAGCTATAATAAAGTACAAAACATTTATATTGTAGGTAAATTATGAGTAGGAAGTATAGATGAAGTAACAAATTCGGAAAATAAAAACAAATATAATTTTCCTAGATGTTTGGGTCCAATTTTATTTAATTCGATTGCAACATTTTCCCAAACTTTTTTAATTTCGTTGTATCTACTGGGTTTATTTTCTCAGCTTTCTTGAACATTTCGAGGCTTAGTAGCATGAGGATTTTCATCCGTTCAGATGTGAGTATTATGCATATTAAATACACTTTCTTTGGTAAATCCTGCTACGAAACGTAAAAAGTTTGGGTTTTGCCTTATTTTTTCCACGAACCAGTTGCAATAATTCTGTCTATCTTGATAGTCTTGAGGCTGCAAAAACTGAACTTTTTGTACGTAATAGGGATGTCAGTTGGTAAAAATCGGCATTTTAAAAAGCAAAATAAATCCGAAGTGCAAGCTATTTATCGACATGCACACAACTAAAATTAAAAATAATCGTACGGCGTGTTAAGCCTTGATTTTTTTGAACACTCAGTCGCGGTGAGCGGACAGTCGTCCGTCGACCGGCGCGTTTTGACGGTTTTATCTAACCAGAGTATTTAAATGGTAACGGGTTTCTTGAATCCGCTTAGCTGAGTAGGACGACGACATGCCGCTAATTTTTTATCGCGACTAGTCGGTTCATATCTGTTGAGTTTGATATCAGCGAAATCGTCGGTGTGTGCGGAGACAGTTTGTAAATACAAATAGTTATATTGTTATTATTTTTAATACAATGAGTGATAAATTAACACATACAGATTATGAAATCTTAATAGAGTTGGTTCGACAACATCCTCCTTTTTATTTAGTGTGGCAGGAAATGTCGTCCTTTACAAAACTCAACACGAATTCTAAAAGATCTGTAAAAAGTCTAAAATACTCCTTAAATTTCGTTTCATTTTTAAAAAGCCTCTGCTGTACAGTGCTATTAAAGGCACCTTCTGTATCGCGACACAAAACCAACTTATCCACTGGCTTACTTGAAACTTTGACTGTTGCAATTACCAGTTCCTCTTCTTCTTCTTCCTCTTCCAACAATAATTACAACGGAACCAATTTATTTGAGTCCATTTTAGTACCTTTCGTTTCTACTCATAATACATAAACAGCACATACAGGCATAAAGAAAGTCTCATTTTCTATATTTAACAAATCACCTCCGGCGAAAATCGCTGTCCTCAGCGATCGACGGACTGTCCGCTCACCGCGACGGAGTGTTCAAAGACACCAAGGCTTTAGTCATTTGACCTGTAGCAAAAAATGTATAACATTAAGAATCATGTATTAAAAACTTGGCTAGATTTTATTTTAATTATTTATTTTATTACAGACAGCTCGTTAGGGTTATTTTAGGGTTTACAAATATCAAACAAAAATGGTGAATTTTCAAAATTTGTATTTGATAGAAGTTGTTTGTTTTGATGCGCTAAATACGTGGTTAAAATTATGGGACTTTTTCTGGGATTAGATATTAGTATCTCTTTAATTTACTGGGCACATTTCAACATAGTAGGACTTGCAATTAGCAAAAAATAATTTAGCTGAGCTATAAATGTTTTTTTCAAATTTTGAAATATAAAGTGACATTTTTTGTAATCGCTGCAAGTGTCAAAATGTGCTACCAAATGTTAAACAATATGAAACTGGTTACAAAATAGCTATTTATGAAACCAGTTACGGAATGCCTTATTTCCTGTAGCGAGTAAATATTTGCGGGACTAGCAATAACTTTTCTAGTTTTGACTAAATTTTTTGGTAAGAAATTACTGACATCTAAGCAACCAATATTACTACTTTCTTGTATTGTTAGTAGCATATGCATCATTGTATTGACAGAACATATTCATGATTTATTCTCAACGACTTGTAGTGTTATTAAAGTCATTTGTATTTCAAGTGGGTTATTTTGTCGTGTATTATGTTTTAATTATTTTGCGCTGATTTTAATGGAAAATAAGGACCAAAACAACATTATTACTAGGTTGAAAGTTTAACCAAATTCCATTTTAATGAATCAACTTGAAGAAAACTCAAAAACGGATAAAGAAAAAAACATTAAATTTTAAACAAGTTTTATTTCGGCCTGACGTGAAATGATTAGATTTTGGACAAAGTCGGAACATCTGGGGGGGTACTTTATGGGAGGCCGTTTTTATATTTTATGGAATATATCTGTTATTTATGTTTGGAGAAAAAATTGTTCAAATAAAAGTTACTTCTAATATTATTATCTATAATTTTTGTTTTATGTAAAAATTTCCTGAAATGGTCCGTATTCGAAAAATTTGACAAATTGTGCAAAATTCTGATTTTTATGAAAATTGTTAAAATAAAAGTTGTTTGCGATATCGATCTCTATAATATTTGTTCATACATGATTTTTTTAAAATGGACCGTAATGGAAAAATTGTAGGAAAAGTGCTAAATTTAAATTTTTCAGTATTTTCATTTTCAATGAATATCTATAGAAAAATGTTTCACGGTATGTGGACAATGTATATATTTAGTTTATCTTCTAAACATTTATAGAGATGCTGCAATAGGTTGTACAAAATAACCGGAAAAAGCCTGTAATAACTAGATAGGAAAGTCATGTGTTGGACACATCAGATTTTTAATAATATCGGCAGCTTCCTGTGTTGGGTATGGAGCTCTCTGTGACACTTTTTGAACCACGCAAGTGAGCATACGTCATGACGTCACATGGTCATATGTTACCTGTCAACTGTCAATTATCAATTGTCAATTGCCAACTTAACCGAACCTGTCAACAGTGTTATCAACCTATAATTCTGCGCATATATTTATTGCTTTTGAATATACTATGGTTTTCATATCTCTGGTTTTCATGTAACCACTTAAGAAATAATTCAAAGGATTTAAAACAGGAAATAATTCTAAACTCAAATGTGATCAAGATGTAAAATAAAATTAAATAAAACTCAAAGCCATGTGACACAAAACTACGAGTGGCCGTTTCTCTCTTGAAAACAACTACTCTTTTGGCCAAAACTACGAGTGGCCGTTTCTCTCTTGAAAACAACTACTCTTTTGGCTAATTCCTCACCAGATATTGAATTATTTTTTATTTCAAAGGATTTATATCAGGACTAGGGAATTCACTAAAAAGTAATCCACAAAAAATGGTTTTTATTAAAAATATCTCGTTGCCGGTATATTGAAAACTAAAATTTCTACACACTTTCTACAACTTTTACGTCTAACTTTTTACTTTCCTATCTGTATACAGATATAAGGAAAGTATAGGAATCATGATTTTTTTCGACCTCGAGTTTTCGACGGATTTTTACGTTTTGAGGTCCCCTGAATCCGTTTTGACTATTTTCGCGATGATGTCTGTCTGTCTGTGTGTGTGTGTGTGTGTGTGTGTGTGTCTGTGTGTGTGTGTGTCTGTGTGTGTGTGTGTCTGTATAACGCATAACTCATGAACCGATACACAAAAAACACCAAATTTTAAACTTAAGCTTTGTTTCAGCGTCCAATGAGCTGATTAGATTTTGGGCAGAGTCGGAACATCTGGGGGGGTACTTTATAGGTGGTCATTTTTATATTTTATGGAATATATCTGTTATTTACGTTTGGAGAAGAAAATTCTTCAAATAAAAGTTACTTTTAATATAATTATCTATGATTTTTGTTTTATGCAAAATTTTCCTAAAATGGTCCGTATTCGAGAAATTTAAGAAAATGTAAAAAAAATAATTTTTTATAAAAATTGTTCAAATAAAAGTTGTTTGTAATATAATTTTCTATAATTTTTGTCCAATACATAATTTCTCTAAAATGGACCGTATTTTGAGATATTTGAGAAAATGTGTAAATTTCGAAATTTGAAGAAAACTCAAAAACGGATAAAGGAAAAAACATTAAATTTTAAACTTAAGGTTTATTTCGGCCTGACGTGAAATGATTAGATTTTGGACAAAGACGGAACAACTGGGGGGGTACTTTATGGGAGGCCGTTTTTATATTTTATGGAATATATCTGTTATTTATGTTTGGAGAAGAAAATTGTTCAAATAAAAGTTACTTCTAATATTAATATCTATAATTTTTGTTCTATGTCAAAATTTCCTGAAATGGTCCGTATTCGAGAAATTTGACAAAATGTGCAAAATTCTGATTTTTATGAAAATTGTTGAACTAAAAGTTGTTTGCGATATCGATTTCTATAATTTTTGTTTATATATGATTTTTCTAAAATGGATCGTAATGGAAAAGTGCTAAATTTAAATTTTTCTGTATTTTCGTTTTCAATGAATATCTATAGAAAAATGTTTCGAGGTAGATGTATGTGGAAAATGTATATATTTAGTTTATCCTCTAAACATTTATAGAGATGCTGCAATAGGTTGTACAAAATAACCGGAAAATGCCTATAATAACTAGATAGGAAAGTCATGTGTTGGACACATCAGATTTTTTTTCTAATACTCATAGTTTATAAGCTACATCTCACCTTCTTAAATCTGCGCGTCTAATAAAATACAATCTATTATTGGTTATTTTTTCCTTTTTTCAGAACTGATATATGTAAGTACCTACGCGTCAATTCTATTTGGACCATTGATTAGAATATGGGTGTCTCTGCTACCAGTGATCGTTATTTATGAACCCAGACACTTAAAACTTATCTTATCCACAAATAAAAACAACGAAAAAGGGTTTTTCTACAAAGCCTTGCATAATTTTATAGGACCGGGATTGATAACAAGTAATGGTAAGGATTTTTTCGAATATAATCTTGGAGAACTTAGACTAAAATTAGGGGTCATTAGACTGGGATTTAGGAGACTGTGGACTAGGATATAGGGGAACTTATTCCAGGATTAGGAGGTCATGGACTGAGATTTAGAGGACTTTAGAACAGGTTACAGAGACCTGACTGTAGAATAAAGAGATTGAGACGAATTGGTATACACTCTATGCGGTATCAAAAAACGAAAAAACGCTAATACAGCTTAAGAATTCACCGCAGGTGCGCTGACGTTCCAAGTAATCTGTAAAATACATATTAATTCTTGTGGGTCTTAAATTTATGAAAATAATAAAAATAAATTTGTTAGTGCTATATAAAACTATTTAATGTCTAAATAAAGTGCAAATTAATAATGTATGTATTACAATTGTAAATAAATACATTATTTTACTTACATTAGTAGTTTTAAAAAGGCTTGAAATAATTTCGCCGTTACCGATTCGACTCTTTCTCTCTAGTCTCCATAGATATAGGGGAACATAGACTTGGATACAGGGTACCATAGACTAGGATACAGGGTACCATAGACTAGGGTATAGGGGACACTAGACTAGGACATTGGAAATTTTATGCTAGGTTCCAAATGTTGGTACACTAGCATATATAGAGGACGCCAGAGTAGTAAATAGGGGATGGTTGGCTAAGGATCTAGGAAACACTAAACTGTAATTTAGGTGACGTTAGACTAAGCTTTCGAGGGCGTTACTATAAATGGGTTCTTTTTTTTTAGGATATACATGGAAGAAAAATAGAAAATTAATACAACCGTATTTTCACATGAACGTTTTGGAAAAGTTTATAGAACATTTCGTTGAATGTTCGCATAGATTTGTTTCCAAATTAGATGGGCAAAAGACTCTTAAAATAACTCCTTTTATAAATGACTGCATTTTGGATGTTTTGCATAGTAAGTGTTTCATATGAATATACCTGTTGTCCCACAAGTTTAACGGGAAATTACTTTGAAATTTTGTATTGTGACCAAACCTTAATATTGTTTACTACTTATAAAATATTTCAGATTCAGTGTTAGGAGTTCCGCTTGATCTTGACTCCCCTTATAGAAAGTGAGTATCATAAAATTCTATTTTATTTTATTTTTATATCTAATACTATTTCAGAGGCGAACTCCAAGCTATCGAAAGGTTCATAAGACCATGGTTGATTTTTGAACCAATTTATAGTTGGACGTCGTCCGCCAATTACGAAAAGAAACAGAAAAGCAGTTTGGAGTCTTATACGAAACAGGTAAGACGTCCTTGAGAAAATTACGCGTGAAGAAAAATCACGGTATAAGAATATTATCTACAAATAGTATGATTTATTGAAACGGTATATTATAATAGTTTTTAAAACAAAAACAATTCTAACAATACATTTTATTACAATATTAAACAGCTATAAAATAAAACTAAAATGTTTCACAACGTAAACGGAATTACGTAAACAAATATTTCTGTGAAATTTTCATTTTTTCATTGGAATTTTTATTTAAAATCTTACCATGTTTAAAACAGTGGTTCCCAAACGTTTTTTATGGCGCCCCCTTTTCGAAATAAAGAAGTGTGTCATGCCACCCCCCCTTGATGATTGAAACAGAAACCACAGAATAACCTACTACAGAAGCGAAGGCTTGCGTCGGCACGTTTGATGTCGGGGTGGCCAAAATTTAAAGTCACCACAAAGTGACACTCGGGGACAGTAGACGTTTTTGCCGGTTATTACACTGGTAAAAATGAACAATATTTGTATATTCGGATAATACACTGAGAAAAGGATTTAAATATATGTAACAAACTTATCTTAGTGATATAATTAGAAAAATAAAGCTTAACAATAATTTATTTTGAAGTAAATTGTACTGTTCGCTAAACTAAAAAAGGTTTTTACATGAGGAACCAGACCGAATACTCGTTGTACTTAATTCATCAGTTTTTTTAGATAACATTAACTCTTTAACAGAGTGATTCTATTACAATTTATTGATGTATTAATTAATTGTGTACTTTCCTGGAAAACATCTTCAACTATGATATTGAATCTAGAAAAATAGATTAAACTGATAATAACTGGCATTAAAAATGCAAATATACTTCCCAACTGTAATTTTGAAAGAATTTTATGTATTTTAGAGCCTTATGATATGTCAATAATATCATAAACAATCCTTGTAATAAGCCTTTCGTCATACTCTCTTATAATAATTTGACAACTCGGTGGATAAATCCGTGATTTTTTACAATTCTATTTTTGCAAACAAAATTAATCTCATAGTCGTTGATAGAAAAGCATCACCAATAATTGGCGTAACGATTTATTACACTTTTTAACATTAGCACTAACGTTCACTGCACTAGCTCAAATGGCCTTTCTTTCTTTCTTTCGAGTTTTCTGTGCAGAGTTGTCCAGTAACTGCAACACTTCTTCATTAACGTGGGAGTGGAGTCGACCCTCATGTTTTGCAGTAACCTCTTTACCTTGTCTGTATGAAGATAATCGTTTAGATAGAGCCAGGGGGCATCAATCATCTTAGGACTTTATTTTGAAAAATTTATATTATGGCACATCCTCGTAGCTGTATTTCATAAATCCAGACTGGATTTATTTATAAATCATATGTTATACACATAAATTTGCATTTTTAGATGCATAATTATTAGAACTTCGATTTAAATTAAGATTTGAAGAAAAGTACTGTAAGAAAAAGGTTGTTATAAATAAAACACGTACCCATACTGACTATTAATTTTAATAAACCAAAATACGAAAAAGACTTATTACAAAAATCAAATTAATAAAAATCTCAATATGAAAAATACACACCAAAAAGCACAAAATTTTAGACAAAGGAATATGCCCTAGGTCCTAAAAAATACAAGGTAAGCGCAAACTGCTTGTATTCTTTGGAATGTCTTCTAGCTAGAGGCTTTTTGTTTTTAAATTCTGCTTGAGATTTAACTATATCTGCAAATGGTTGGTTTAAAAATTGTGGCCCAACCCAAGGATATTTTTGGGACTGGCACATGCATTATCGAAATAGAAACATCAATATCTCTTTAATCTTCAAAGTTAGTCATTCTTTTGCTGGGACCTAAAAAAAATATTTAAATTAAAAAAATACATAAATACAACACTTTTATATTATTTTTAATACCTGGTGTACTGAGACAATCGTCGCGGGATTTATTACACTATATAGATTCATTCAGAATGATCAATGTTTTCATTTGTTGCGGGTGTGTGCCAGAATATTGTCAGAAGTACATTTTCAAATAAACGTTTCCGAGTTGATCCAACTGAAAAACTACTGGGCTGGAAATGTTTTTTACACAACTGGTAGCTTTTGTGTAATTATTCACTGGTTATATTAATCAAGTCTTCTCGATTACAGACTCTTAGCCACATGGGAACCCTAAAAAAATACAAAATACATTGTCATAGGTACATAAATAAGGTACCTAGACCAAATATGGGCAGGTCTCTTAATATGGGCATTTATCAATATTTGCCATAACTTTTGCTTCTTGATAAAAGATTTCGATCTATTAGAGAACAGGGACCCGGCAGTACCCAGTGACTAAAGTGCAACGGCAGAATGGTCAGCCAGTGCGTTACAAGTAGTCGTACAGTGAGTGCTATCACGCTGTGTTTCATTTTTATAATATCTGAAAACGACGACATTCCTAATTTATTGTGTGTTTTGATAATACGAGTTTCGGCTCACAGGTAAGATTTGAGTTTCATAAGAACCCTTTCTATGTGTTTATTTCTAAATTTGCTTATTGTACTGTCTTATAGTTTTATTAGGTTATCAAGTTAGTGATTGCTTGATCTTAATATGGGCATATGCAAACGATCTTTATATCGGCACTGCCCAAATTAGGACCATTATCAGTAATTTTTTTTCTAGACAATGGTATCACTAAAGAGGGCTCAGTGGACAGAAGAAGATCTGAGTAATGCTGTTCGATCGTGTCAAAATGGAATGGCGATAAGACGTGCATCTATCAACTATAAAATACCCCGGGGAACGTTACAGCGCCATGTTTGGAGTGGCAATACAGTGAAACGACTAGGTAGAAAAACTATGTTGAGCAATGAACAAGAGGATCAGCTCTGTAAAAGAATATTTAGACTTGTCGAAATTGGATTACCTCTTACGTCTAATATGTTAAGAAGAACAGTTCATTCATTTTGTACAGCAAATAACGTACAGCTCCCACCGATTAAGACTACTTCCAGAATGATTGGACGAAAATGGTTAAAACTTTTTTTACGTCGACATCCCGATGTTGCTAGAAGAAAATCACAAAAAGTTAATCCAGCTCGAGCTGCTAAGTTGAATAAGTTTGTAGTTGAGGACTACTTCAATACTCTAAAAAACACATTAACTGAACTAAATATCATGGATAAACCACATTTGATTTTTAATATGGATGAAAAAGGATGTCAATTAAATGTCCACAAGCCGCCGGAAGTTTTAACTAGAAAAGGTGTTAAAAGAGTGCCATTGATTGCTCCCGAACATGCTGAAAATGCAACAATAGTATCTTGCGGTAATGCATTGGGACAAGCTATTCCACCAGTAATACTTTTTAAAGGAAAACGTCTAAAACCGGAATATCAAGACAATCTTCCTCCAAGGTGCAAAGTATTTATGACACCCAAGGGGAGCATAACTTGTGAAACCTTCGTAAAGTGGATACATCACTTTGCTGAGTATAAGCCTGCAGGAAATGTACTGCTTATTTTTGATGGAGCCAAATCACATTTGGATGGATCTATTATGACTGCTGCTGATAATCATAATGTTACACTACTCTGCCTTCCTAGTAATTGTACACACGAATTACAGCCTATGGATAAATCCGTTTTCCGGGCGTTTGAATATCATTGGGAGGATGAATTGCAAAGATTCTGGGGAGTGCGTTCTGAGCGTAAGCTTACAAAGACAAGTTTTGGTTTAGTGTTTTCTAAGGTTTGGCCTAAAACTGCCACTCCTTCCAATATATCTGCAGGATTCCGTGCTACAGGCATTTACCCATTCGACTCCACGGTAATTCCCGAGTGCGCATTTGCTCCATCTGTACTGACTGAAAGAAAACTTCCGCCGTCACAAGAGTTACATGAAACTACTCTACCTCAAGCAACGTCTACTCCTAAACAAAAGTTAATTCAAGACAAAAAAAGAAAACGCACAGATTCAGACAGTAGTAACACAAATTCAGAATGCGACTGGATCTCTTCCAATTCAATAGATGATGTCTCAACAGAATCAGAAAGTTCTTCCGATGAGAAATATAACGACAAATGTGACAAATCTTTTGATAATTTGTTGCCAACACCAGACCTGGATCTCGTTAAACAAAACAAAGATCCACCAAGAAAGTCTATAAATTATAAGACTGTTAAGTTAAATGAAGAAATGTTTTTTAAGTCCCCGTTAACAAAACAAAATAACTCCAATACTTTAGAAACGAGAAGCCAAATAAAGATATCAAAAATATCAGAGAAAAAGAAGTCCCCTGAAAGATTTAACAATCAGCCATCAGTAAGTGGACAAAAATCTAAGAAAAAGGAATCTTGGTATTGTTTCCTCTGTAAGGAATAACGACAACTAGATATGAGGCAGTGCAATTTTTGTCAACAGTGGGTACACGAAGAATGCTGTGGATTAACACCGAGAGATGTCTTAATTCCTTTCAAGTGCCCCGACTGTGACGAGAGCGACTGACCTTACATTTTCAACGTTTTGATTTGTTTTAATTTTTGTTTGGTGTACCAATTTTGTTTCAAGAATATTATTAGTTTTATTTTGATAAAGATGTCTGTTCTTAATCATTGAAATAAAAAAAAAATAAAAACATGTTTATTTTTTACAGCAAACTACTTGAAAAATGAAAAATAGAGCTTTATTCTACTAGTGCCCATATTTGGTGCCCCTGCCCATAATATGTGCAGTTGTACTCATATAACAAAATTTAAAAAATATCCAAATGTTAAATCTCTAGTTTCTTTTTTCATGTATAACTATCTAACCTAATCCGCTCTAAAGGGTTTAGCACTTTTATTATTCCTCTATGATGAAAAACTGAATTTATATGAAACAATTTGCTTAGGTATGCCCATATTTGGTCGAGGTACCTTATAATTTGATTTAATAATGATAATAAAATAATTGAAATAACCAAAAAAGGTTGACAGCTGTGTGCACGTAGTTTAGATTCAACAGGAAAGACTTGTATTTCGTGCAAAACTTTTTAATTAATAAATGCAAAGCGCTTTCGGCTTATTAGCCATCATCAGTGCTAATCTACAAAAATTGTGGATGTAAACTTACAATTTAAAAAATATAAATCTGATTAAGACTTTTAAGTCAAGAGTTAAAATTGTATATATACGGTTGTTTGAACAAATTAACAATTAAAAGATACAAACAAAGTGACAAAAATCCAGTATTGGGAATAGTGAGTGTGGGATAAGCCCTTACAAATCATATCTGATCTCCAGAAGCAAGTTAGCTTGTGTGGAATTAAGGAATTATACCACCTTCACCATTCGCACAATTGAAAACAAGTTAACAAATTAGTTAAAATTTAAAGAAATTTACAAATAGAGGGTGACTGTGGAAAATATATATTGAAATTTGAATCTAGAATACAATAGTTAATATGAAGAAAGTTAAACGCAGAAGGCCAAAGTAAAAAACTGAAGGTTTTTTTTTTTATATGTATATACATTATAATTATAAAAAAAAAATTCTACCTACTGTCCACAATGTATCCAACAAGTTCCTGGTCATCCTCACTCCCAAAATTAGATATTTCGGGATATTTACAACTTGCTAAATCATATGATTTGTTAACTTGTTTTCAATTGTGCGAATGGTGAAGGTGGTATAATTCCTTAATTCCACACAAGCTAACTTGCTTCTGGAGATCAGATATGATGTGTAAGGGCTTATCCCACACTCACTATTCCCAATACTGGATTTTTGTCACTTTGTTTGTATCTTTTAATTGTTAATTTGTTCAAACAACCGTATATATACAATTTTAACTCTTGACTTAAAAGTCTTAATCAGATTTATATTTTTTAAATTGTAAGTTTACATCCACAATTTTTGTAGATAAGCTCTGATGATGGCTAATAAGCCGAAAGCGCTTTGCATTTATTAATTAAAAAGTTTTGCACGAAATACAAGTCTTTCCTTTTGAAATAAAATAATTGTTTTGATTAAATAGCCAAATAAATAATATACAGTTAACATTGCTGCATTTGAAAAGTACCTCGTTTTACTCGAAGCAGTTCTTTTAATACATCTGTGGTTTCTCGATGGGATCTGCTCTGTGGTCTTTTAATGCAGAGCTGGTAAGTCAAGTAAGATCTATTTCCTCCGAATTAAATTTTAGAGCTTCCGAAGTAAATGTAATTTATGTGACAATAGACAAAGACAAAAGCAGAAAACTATTTTTAACTATACAGTTCTCTGGAAAAAAGCAACTGAAGTTGTAGATGTACTTCTGTGAAATGTACAGACAGTTGTCTGTTGTCTCTTGTGTCACAGTTTATTCTTTTTCATCATATTTACATATCTGGTTATTAAAAGTAAAAAAAAATTATAAAAAATGTTAGATGGAAACGAGAACTTGTTTTATTTTCTAGTGATGGTAAAAAGCGAAAAATACCACAGCTAAAAATGAAGTTTATTTTGCAACGTGCAACAAAAACCAGGAGAAGAGAAATCAAATGTGATTTAAAAGAAAGGTTTTAGTTTATTTTAATGAAAATCGGAAACTGGAAACACAAACAAATCTATAGCTTTTATTTTATTCCTCATAAGCTTGATTATCATATGATTAAAACATCTACTAATTCTACTCCGCTCCAGGAGGTACTTTTCAAACAAAGCACATAACGTTGGTAAATTTGGATATCTGGATCGAAATTTAAACTATTTGTTAGGTAGAACTATCAGTTTTCCTCATTTAAATTGCATAATTTATTTTGCATACCTTTCTGAAACTCTGGGAAATGAAAAATAACTAGTATTTGAATCCATTCGAGGTAGACATGGGCGATAAACACATCTCTTTCTTTTAGATTCCATCAGTTCACTAAAAAATTATTTTGCTCTAATAAAATAAATAAAAATATGTAAATAGCTCAGCACATACCACAAAAAGTCTTCGATTAAAAACATGTTTACTGAACAATGTTCATAAAATAGACAAAGGAAAGCACTAAACACAGAATTACTCAATAATTGTTAAAAAATATACAAAGGAAAACACTAAAACACACTAAATTCGATAAAAAAATCATAAATTACAAATGACTGATCCTGACATATCAAAACAACACTCGCATGTGACATGACAGTTTTGCCGGTTATAAAATGGCGGCCCTGATCATGCGCAAAACATTTTGAAGCCCAAAAATTAGCTATCCTTCGCTTCCGTAATAGGTAGATTATTCTGTGATAGAAACTACTTTAACTGGCGCCACCTTTTCGAAATAAAGAATGTTTTCTCTCCCCTGATCATTGAAATAGAAACTACTTTAATTACAATAAAATTTATTTATTTAAAAAATTACATTTTGAATCACTAATCTAATCTAATGCGGAGGGTGGTGCTGTATTATTATTTTCATTTGAATTTTCCAGATACAATTTTTTAAGCTAAAATTTTGGAATAATAATACTTCAGGGCTTTCGCGTCTCCCTTAATGAGGCTTCGCACTCACCTGGTGGGGCGTGCCTGTCTGTTTGGAAACCACTGGCTTAACGCTATTTAACATTCTGTATTAATTATTGCAATACTAATCAAGCCATATTTTGTCCAATTCTAGATTTTATACGATAGAAAAAAAGAACTGAAAAATTCTACAAAAACCTGCTTTTTGGATATGTTCATTGAAATTAGTGAAAACAATGATCAATTCACCGAAGAAGATATAATAAATGAAACAATAACATTTATGTTAGCTGTGAGTATGTCTTTAAATTTAAGAATTCACTTTATTTGTTAATTCGTAAACGAAAATTAGGTCCAGTTTTTTTACCTCTGAGCAAAGTTGAAAGTAATTACTTGCTGATTAGGCTATAGATTATAGCACTAACTTTGCTTTATCATGATCGTCATTATCACTTCACTTACATAAGGTTTAACTCTTTTAAGTCTGCGCAATAGATATTGATTGTCTAAAAGTGGAAGAACTTGAATGTTGATGTGTGTTTGTGGAGCCTCTTCTCATGTGTCTTCTGGAATTGATTGAACTGGGAGTCCTTGGTACCTACCAGGTCTTTATTCCGAACATACCAAGGAACATTAACTATGTTTCTGAGAATTCGGTTTCGGACTATTTCTAGTCAATTGTAATTGCTTTTACTGGTACATCCCATAATTGAATGCCATGTCCATACTGGCTTTAGAACTTGTTTGTAAATGAGGACTTTATTTTGAGTGGAAAGTGAAGAGTGTCTTCCTATCAATACATATTTCTATATTTGATCTTTAGCTGTTTAGTTTTCATTTTTACATGCTTCTTTTATTTTAATTTAGCATCCAGATTTAGACCCAAATATTTTGCTGTTCTTTTATTTGGTATAATATTTTTATTTAAGTTTATTGGTATAAAATCTATTCTTCTACTGGTAAAGTTAATGTAAGCGTATTTTTCTTCGTTAATTTTTGTGCGACACTGTTTAGCAAAGATTTGTATGCTAATGATTTTATTGTGAAGAATATCTGTTGTTTCTTCTATAATTGATCCTATGGTTAAGACAACTGTATCATCAGCGAATGTGGCAAATTTTATATGTTCTATCTCTGGAATGTCATAGCCGTAGATTTAATTAGGACTGTGGGCCATGTGGCCTCCCCCACCTCGACCTTTTTCAGATCTATTATTGTGGATGTCATAGCTGTAGAATAAATATAATACTGGCCCCAGGACACTTCCCTGTGGAACGCCAGCATTTATTGACTTGAGTTCAGGGTATTCGTTGTCCATTTTAACTTTAAATGTTCGCTGCGTTAGATATGATTCTAGTAGTTAGACATATTGCATCGGGAAGAATTTCTTTATTTTAAATAGTAGGCCTTGATGCCACACTATATCGAATGCTTTTGAGATAGATATCAAGAAATACTGTGGAACATTTTTTTCTAGAGAATTTTCAATTTTATTTATTATGCTATGAATCTAATCAATTGTAGAATGTTTATCTCGAAATCCGAATTGATAGGACGGGATTGTTGTTGTTTTTTGTCGATTATCTCATTCAGTCTTCTTAATTCAAATAATTTTATGTCACAGGTAGAAGCCAGATTGGGTCTATATGATGTTATTTCATTATTGGGTTTTCCCGATTTGAGTATCGTTATTACCTCAGCAGTTTTACATAGTATTTTTCTAGAAATAACAAAGTCCAGAAAGTCCAGTATTTTGTTTATATCGCTTGGCCAATATGTAGGTTTTCCCGTGGAGTGCCACCTACATTTCTGCTCTTTGATAGCTTCGTTCAGTTCTTTTCCATTGGTTGTAGTAAGTCTTGAGCCCCAGCAGACATTTTTTGTGTTAACATTAGCAGCTAATAAAAAATTTTCACCACAACTTATCAAGAAGTTGTTGTAGTCTTCTTTTGAGATTATATCAGGATAAAAAGTAGGCAGATGCAATAGTGACTACATATTTTTTTGTGTTAACGGATATGCTAACAGCTTTTATTTCTTCAGCTTCACTTTTTCATCGTTTATAGTGTGTTATGTTCTGTTTAATCTATATATAAATAGTTCAGTTCCATTTTTCTTCTGTTTGTGAACCGATTTTCTTTTTTTTGGTTTCGTGTTTTGTTTGGTAAAAAAATTTGGAAATAGTATTTTTCCCAACCTTAGATATATGAAATCCATTGATCTACAATCATTATTATGAATTATGACTGACTAATAAAATTAGCCTATAGCGAACATGAGCATTCTTAATTTCGAACCGACATGGACAAAATAACATGAACGGATGAGGATCACAAAAAACGTAAAAAAATTAATTCCCCCCCTCCTCTCCAACTTCCCCCCTTCTTTCTGTGCCACGCCTAAATAATAAGGGATATAAACACTATAAGCGGGACCGTAGGCCCTGCCTGAAACCACTCAACTTCCCCCCACACCCACTCTAAAGAAGGTAGATAAAATATATAGAACCCCTAGACTTAGGAAAATGCATTTCGGGTACGAAAGATTGGACTTTTAGACAAAAAAATTTCACCCACCAAAGGATGTCTAAGTGTAGGTGGGAAGGTGAATTCACCCCCTTATCCTAAGGGTAGGCGGGGTGAAACATTTTTTTTATAATTTGAGTATTTTGAGATATGGGTTGTAAGGATATTTAAGACTTTATTTTTAATAATACCTAGTATATTTTAGTATCTATAATATGGTGTAACATATTTACAGATAATCGTTCTGGCACTACAAATTCTTAAATATTTGTCCTATTTTAAAAAAACGAAAATTATTTTTCTGCACCCATATGGATATTATCTATTCTATGCACAGATAATAGAACGAAAAAATATGCCATTGCGTTCTGCTGAATGGATATAATTTCATATTTATTCTAGAAGAATACTGTATGGTTATGAAACCCACCAATCAGAGTTCATATTTAATGGCCGGCCAACTATTATTTTTTTATAATTTTAAATAAGTAATAATTCTGTCAAACGCATTATTGTTATTATATTTTTTCAGTTAAGGAGTTTAAATAATATATAATTAAAAATGAGTGATTCTCTTAAAAAAATGATAAATAAAGGCAATTTAAAAATAAATTGTAAATTTGAATAAAACTATCTAACAATTTAATTATAAATTTTAAGCCGTAAATAATGTAGAAATTGGTAGTGCAACGGTTTGAGTGTTCCCATTCCAAGAGTTCGGGTTCAAATCCCGATTTATTTTGTTTTTTTTTTAATTTTATTCTTATTAGAAAAATTCAAGATTGCAAATTTTTACATCAACTATCTTCAAAATAGTTATTTTGCCTTAATAACCTCTAAATTAATTTTTTAAATTTTGTAGATTTTCGGTAGTGAGTTGTAGAAAAAATATACTGTACAACTCGAGTGGATTGTCCGTATTGCATTCAGACAATTAAGCACTTCGCCTACAGAGTCGTGCGATATAACCATTCTAGCCACTCTTGTTGCACAATATTAGTTTGTGCAACAAGAATGGATATGATGGCCATATGGCACGAAGACGAAATTTGATCAATGGTCTGAGTTGTATAGTATATTTTTTCTACGATCCACTAACGAAAATTTACAAATAAAAAAAAATATTTTAGGTTATTAAGACAAAATAACTACTTTTAAAATAATTTATGACTTTTAATAATTTTTAAAATAAAATAAACAAAAGAAAGAAAAAAGTTCATTTCATTTTTCCCTATCCGAGAATCAAACTCGAGTCTTCCGTGTGGAAGGCAAGAACGCTGACCACAGGACCACCTATTCTTTTATTTTTGTTGCTTTAATACTCATAATTAAATTGACTTCATATAGTTTTATTTAAATTAACAAATTATTTATAATTATAGACGAAATAAAAACAGAAATGCTATTATTTATCGATTCTACACAAGAATAACCTATTTTAATGTATGTTTAATCTCAATAACTAAAAATTATATTGACAATTAGTTTGACAGAATTGTCACTTAATTAAAATTTTAAAAATAATAGCAGTCGGTTGATCGAAATATGAACGGTGATTGGTGGAATTAATTTTTTTGCAGTGTTCTCACTACCTAGAATGGATATGAAATATATTCGTTCAGTTGAAGGCATACTTTTTCGTTTTGTAATCTGTGCGTAGATAAGCTAATATACATGTGGGTGTAGAAAATAGAAGTTTGTGTGATGGTCATATCGCACGAAGTCGAAGTTTGAGCACAACGCCCTCTTTGACGTGTGTTGACTAAAATGGGAATGTAATGTAGTGAATAATCTTGCAATAAAATTAAGTAAGGTATTTTTTAAAACATTTTTGCTTTATTCTAAAATAAACAGATTTTACTAGACAAATAGAAAAAAATATATTTTCGGAAAATCAAACCAGACGGTTTGGAATATGGGCCGTATACCAAAATCAAATTTTAAGCACAACAAAAAACCATAAAATTTTTGAAGTACTTTCTTGGGGTTCTGGTTTTAATTCACAACTAGAAGAATTGTTGAAATTAGTGGCTTTTTTAATTGAATCCGTTTGATCTGTAGTATGGCTGCAGCGTTTTTCTGTTGTATATTTAATCTCAATAACTAAAAGATATACTGCCAATTAGTTTGACAGAATTGTTACTTATTTAAAATTTTAAAAATAATAGGAGCCGGTTGATCAAAATATGAACGGTGATTGGTGGATATGAAATATATTTGTTCAGCTGAACGCAATAGCATACTTTTTCGTTTTGAGGTCTGTGCATAGATAAGCTAATATCCATGTGGGTGTAGAAAAACTTTTTTATTTTATTGGTTTTAACGTTTATGGTTTATATACTATGCAAATCCTAATTTTATTATAACAGTAGCAATATGTTGGTTAACTATATCGTCACGTCAGAGTTTAAAGCGTCTATTGTAATCCTATATATTTTTAATCGTTTTTAGGGACAAGACTCAGTGGCAGGCACCATGGCATTTACCCTATTTTATTTAGCAAAAGAACCTGAGATTCAAGACAAATTGATAAAAGAAATGTCCGATTACGACGTCAACAGCCATATTAGCATGAAAGAAATAAACCAAATGAAATATATGGAGCAAGTGATCAAGGAATCTTTGAGACTGATACCCGTTATTCCTTTAATAAGTAGAGTGATTACCGAAGATATTACATTAGGTCAGTCTTATGTTTTTGCTGTTCCAACTGTATATAGGATTTTCCCGATAGGATTAAAATAACGTCATATCTAAAATCACGCCGTTGCTATATTGTAAACTAACGGTTTTCGAGTTATTTAGGATTTTTCAACGCCCATGTCAGTAAACGTTAAAACTTGCAAACTTGCACTGTCAACATTCCTTATAAATGACATTTAACAATAACATGCATGTAATAAGATCTCATAACATACACGCGCGTTTTGATAAGAAAACTTAGTTTAATCAAATTGCAATCAAATTTTTTATCTAAGTTCGACTTTATTTGGTCTCAGCATATTCAAATAATGTCAGACAGACAAGCGGCACTTAAGGCCATATCGAGTCAGAAAGTTACGTCGAGGCTGGTATGGGAATGCATCGAAGAACTAAGAACACTGGCAGACCGAAATAGAGTAAAACTATTTTGGGTGCCAGGTCACAAAGGGATCGAAGGCAACGAAAAGGCTGACGAACTTGCAAAAAGAGGGTCAGAAGAAACACCGGAACCAGACACAAACCCAGGAGTACCAAAAAGTACAGTCTGGGGTTTTATAAACGACTGGATTCGGGAACAACATATCAACTATTGGGGAAGCACCCCAAAACAGGCACATGGAAAAGCCTTCATAGACAGACCATGTCCCAAAAGAACTGGAGAACTACTCTTAATGAATAGAAACCAGTTGAAAGTGATAACAGAGTTCATGACTGGGCACGCCCCAGTAAAGGGACACTTGAACAAAATTGGCATGTATAATGGGAAACTCATGTGCCAACTATGTCACAAGAAACCAGAAACGGCCAAACACATACTGTGCGAATGCGAAGCTCTAGATCGCAAAAGATAGGCTCTTTTTGGACAACCCCAGGTTGATCCAACAGCGTATAGAACCCACTCACCCAAGGATCTGTACAAACTTGTACAAGGTACAAAGATGATAGAGTGGGTGCTATGAACTAACATGGGGTAAAACACAATAAGCCAATAGGCTTCAGTGTTATTCGGAGACACATAGTCAGACGAGCCCAGGAGAGAAAAAAAAACGTTAAAACTTGCACTGTCAACATTCCTTATAAATGACATTTAACAATAACATGCATGTAATAAGATCTCATACACGCGCGTTTTGATAAGAAAACTTAAATTTATTAGTTTAATCAAATTGCAATCAAATTTTTTTATCTAAGTTCGACTTTATTTGGCAAAAGTCATTAAGTCCAAAATTGGAGTTTTGAGAAAAAAGGTTTTAAAGTTACAACTTTGGATAAAAATTTCATTTTGCTTAACTGAATCATATTAAGGTCATAATAATATTTGACTGAGAAGTACTTTTGTAGGAGTATTAGAAAAAAACTTTCGAAAAGTGCCTATCGCTTGGAAATCGACATTTGATGGACTTGGTGAATTTTGCCAAATTAGAAAATATACTAAAACAGTATACTTAAAATATTGTTATACTTGTTTAAATTGAAACGTCCATTTACGAATGAAAGAAATTTATTTCAAAATTATTTTAACATTTTAACATAAAATAACAAATAAAACTTTTTAGTCTTCCTCGCTTTCGCTGTCTACACTTGGTTCAGCATTTCGATTTTTAACGGTTGTTGACGTTGGCAGTGATAAATACCATTGATAAAATTCTGAAAGTATAACTTCGTTAGTATTTTATTATTATTGGATTGCTAAATAAGCCTTGTTAAGCTCGAATGCTGATGTGGAAGGTCTACCTCGCCCGCTGATATTTATGCAAAGATAATCATCTGAATGGTTGTATTTGTATTTGACCACACCTGGGTTATCCTTTTCAATACGAAAGCATTTTACTTGTAGCCACTTCACTTTTGACCCTTCAGTGTTAACTGTTCTGTTTTTTAATACAGTTTGGGAAATAGCTTTGAAATCAAAAAAAATCAGAATACCGCAGTTATTGAACAATGTAAGGATCATTTTTCTTTTTTCCCCTTTAGATCTGGCCATTTTAAAAATATTTATCCAGTCAAAATTGTCGGAGCCCCTGTTTCTGACTATAATTTGTTCTTGGTTTCCCGGACTAATGGTCTAGTGTATTTTAATAACTATGTGGACCTGATTGTGACGACGCCGAAGACAGTGCATCTGTTGTTCTTTGTTTTTGTATCGCGGCGAGTTGTAAGACAATATATTCATTATTCTGATGTCACCTGATCCTAAATTGTTTTAAACTTTTAAAATGCAACATATTTACGTGGAACAAAAAACGAGACAAGCTTTCGTGGTAGACAAGAAAGCATCAAATGTAATAGAGCTATCATGTAACGAATTTTCAAGTGAAAATTATTCAAATTATTGTTTAAAATAAAACTTATAAAATTACATACAGTCCATTCTCATTAATCCAAAACATATTGGTCTTCGATCCGCATGAGGAAAATAAATAAATAAACTTTAGTGATACAAGAAAAATAAAAAACTTTAGTGAATAAGTGTGGTCTCAGAAGGGTTCCAGCCTTGAGTGTATAGTGGCGTATGCCGTATTTGCAGGAATCCAGCCTTTTAAAGTGAGTCCATTCTTTATTTTTATTTTTTCCTGTCCAATTGTCGCTTTTTAGACAATAAGGTAAATACATACCTACTTAGGTAAATCATTTTAAACATCAACTTAAAATTTGCATTCCTTTGGCTTGCCTTCCAGAGGTCACTAAAATGTCGGAAGAAAAGGACTTGATAAGAAAACGAGGCGCTTTAAAAGCCAAACTTACAGCCTTTTCAAACTTTGTTAATAAAGTAGAAAGTGAAAATCCTATTTCTAAACCTTCAATTTTACAAATTCAAGACAGGTTAGAAGGCATAAAATCTACATTCCATGAGTTTAATGAAATTCAAACAGATTTAGAATTAATAGTTGCAGCGCCTGAAAGTCAGTACGCTGAACGGGTAGCCTTTGACGAAGCTTATTATACGGCAATCGCCTCAGCTAGATTATTATTGGAAAGTCAAATATTAATTCCAAATGTATCCAATCAAAATCTTGAAAACATTGAAAAGCATAGTGAAGGTGACAATCTATCGGTTATATCTGAGTCAAATTCAGAAAATTTTAATGTCAACATTCCTGTTAAACTTCCAGATATTAAGTTACCAACTTTTTCAGGTTTTTATGACACATGGATTGAATATCGCGATACTTTTATTAGTTTGATACACGAAAACGGTCATCTTAGCGACATACAAAAATTTCATTACCTGCGCGCGTCACTAGAGGGATCAGCCGCACAGGTTATAAAATCGCTTAAACTATCAGCCAAAAATTATTCAATTGCATGGGATCACTTAACCAAAAGATATAATAATAAAGGTTTATTGATTCAAAATCATTTAGATGCCATATTAAATTTAGAAAAAATAAACAAAGCGTCGTCATTTAAAATTCGAGGACTCGTCGATGAGTTATCTCAGCATGTACAATGTCTTAAAGTGTTAGACCAAAGTGTAGAGTCCTGGTACCTAATTTTAATGCATTTAGCGGCAAAGGCATTTGATGATGCCACATTAGCAAAATGGGAAGAATACAAGGGTATTCATGAAATCAAGTTTAGGTCGTTTGACGAAAATCAAACCGTAGTCGACGAGCAACCGTTCGCAGCGACTATTAACAATATAAACAAAATAAGTTTAGAAAACATGTATGATTTTCTGCAAACTCGCGCTGATTTTTTAGAGCGCTTAGAAAGAGGAAAAAACGTTTTGAATTCGAACAAACAGCTAAATATAAATAAACAGTCGAATCAGTCAAAATTTAACTCGCGTAATCTTTTCACGACCGAAAATAATAGTACGGGCGGTAGTACAGGTTTTGAGTTAAAATGTACGTTTTGTAAAGAAAATCATAAAAATCATTTATGTCAACAATTTCATAAAATGTCTGTATCGGTTCGTATAGAGACGTGCAAAAAGTTAAAATTATGTGAAAATTGTTTGCGGCCAGGGCATTTTGCCAAATATTGTCGACTTTTCGGTACATGTAAAAAATGTAAAAGTAAACATCACACTCTCTTACACTTAGAAGAGGCCTTTAAAGAGGATTTAGCTACTCCAACAGGAAATCTAGGTGTATCACTTGCTTCACAAACTCAAATACTTGTTTTTGATAGCGTTCTACTTTCTACGGTTTTAGTTAATATATTTGATTCGAACAATGTAATGCATAGTGTCCGAGCATTGTTAGATTCAGGCTCCCAGTCATCTTTTATTGTAGAATCCTTATGTGACAAATTAGGATTAAATCTAAAGCCCATAAATTTTGAAGTAGCCGGTCTGGGAGACAAAATGAATAAAATTGAATTTAAAACGGAATTAAAAATTTACTCAAAATGTTCTGAGTTTAATGCAAATATCTCTTGTCTAGTTTTGCCCAAAATCACTAGTTATTTACCATCAACAACAGTTGACACTTCTGAGCTTATTATGCCAAAAAATATAACTTTAGCTGACCCTACTTTCTATAAACCCGGTCCAATTGAAATGTTAATAGGTGCTGATATTTTTTGGCAAATATTACGCGACGGTAATATTATGATACAACAAGGATCGGTATTGCAGAACACTGCCTTCGGTTGGGTAATATCGGGTAAAATCGGCAGAGGTCTTAATACTAGTAAAATGGGTGTTTGCAATTTTACTTTGGAAAATATTGACTTACAAAATCAGTTACACCGTTTTTTTGAGTTGGAAGAGGTTTCTGAAAAGAACCCGTGGAGTAAAGAAGAAATTGCTTGCGAAGAACATTTTAAAAACACAACAGTACGTACTGCGGATGGTAGGTTCATGGTGAATATACCATTCAAGGAATCCGTTACAAATTTAGGAGATTCATATGAGACCGCTAAAAGACGTCTTATGTCGTTAGAAAACAAATTTGCAAAAAATCCGGATTTTCGTAAAAACTATATAAAAAATATGCAAGAAATGTGCGAATTGGGTCACATGACTAAAACTTTAAACAATCCAACAAATAGTCAAAATTCTGTTATTTCATATTACATACCTCATCACGGGGTGTTAAAGGTAGAAAGTCTTACGACAAAATTACGCGTGGTTTTCGACGCGTCTGCGCGTTCGTCTACCGGTTATTCGTTAAATGACCTCCAAATGATAGGTCCAACTATTCAAAGCGATCTATTCGCAATTCTTTTAAGGTTTCGACAATATAGGTACGTTTTTACAGCCGATATCGAGAAAATGTATCGTCAAGTTCTAGTTACGCCTGCGCAGAGGCCTTTACAAAGTATTTTATGGCGAGAAAATTCAAGTTCCAATGTTGATGTCTATACTTTAATCACAGTAAGTTTTGGAACGGCGTCGGCTCCATTTTTAGCTATACGTTGCCTTACAGAATTAGCCAACGAGTGCCGAGAAACATTACCCGACGTCGCGGACATAATAGGCAACGACTTTTATGTAGACGATTTGCTTGGTGGTTGTTTTGAGTTAGATGACGCAAGGAACACTTGCTTACACATTTCAAATGTTTTAAATTCTGGTAAATTTCCACTTAGAAAATGGAGATCTAATTCGTCACAAGTGTTAGAAAAACTTGAAGCAAACCATCTCTGTTCAGACTCTAATTTTTTAACTTTAGGGGAAAATGAAACTGTGAAAACTTTGGGTCTACTTTGGTCACACGCGGAAGATACATTTTCATTTAAAATTGACCTTGAATGTCAGTCAAAAACCGTTACGAAACGTACCATGTTATCATGTATTGCCAAAATCTTCGATCCCTTAGGTTTGCTTAGTCCAAGCGTTATTATCGCAAAAATAATGTTACAACAGTTATGGAAAGAAAAGCTCTCTTGGGACGACGAAATTTCTCTAAATCTTAAAGTCAAATGGAACAACTTTCGAGCGCAATTAAGCTCATTAAATTATTTACAAATAACTAGACACCGTTATATGCCAAAACGTAAACTTCGTTGAAGTTCATTTTTTCTCCGATGCTTCAGAGACTGCTTACGGTAGTTGTGCATACATAAGGTCTATTGATCAAAATGGGAACATTTTCTGTCATTTATTGTGCTCAAAATCAAAGGTTGCGCCAATAAAACCAACAACAGTTCCAAGACTTGAACTTTGTGCCGCACTCATTCTATCAAGATTGGCTGTTAAGGTATTGTCTTCTTTGAGACTCAAAATAGACAGGGTTCTTTACTGGTCTGACTCCAAAATTGTTCTTGGATGGATCAAAACGTCGGCTAATATATTGAAACCTTTTGTGAGAAATAGAGTAATAGAAATACAAGATTCGACCACTGTGTCAAATTGGCGCTATGTTTCAACTCTTGATAATCCTGCAGATCTACTAACCCGGGGGGTAAATCCGGACATAATACAATATTCTGAACTTTGGTGGTATGGTCCTTCATGGCTAAGAAATCACGATAGTACTTGGCCCTCTCATTCTGATCATATCGCAGTCCTGCCGGAAACTCAAGAAGGTGTAGCACCAATTCATTGTTTCGTCGACATTAATAAGAACAGACACGAAATATTAAGTTTTCCTTTCGAAACATTTTCAAATATCGATCGCCTTGTAAGAACTTGTGCTTACATACTTCGTTTTAAAAACGGATTGTCAAGGACATATCCCAAACTCAGCGGACCCCTTTCGGTCGATGAAATTTCACAAGCACACAATATATTAATAAAAATATCACAGTTTAATTCTTTTGAACAAGAAATTGAAGTTTTAAATAATAATAAATGTCTATCAAATAGAAGTAAAATTTTGAATTTAAATCCATTTGTGGATGATCTAGGTTTAGTTCGCGTAGGAGGAAGACTCCTGAATACGCCTTTCAGTCCTGATAAAAAATATCCAATAATTTTATCACCTAAGCATTGTCTATCAAAACTTATTATAAAAAATGAACACGAGAAACTATTACATGCGGGCCTACAACAAGTTATGTTCAGCTTAAGAGAAAAATATTGAATTATATCTTCTCGAAATTTAATAAAAAACGTAATTAAAAACTGTATAATTTGCCATCGTTATAAAGCAAAACCATTACAAATTACTATGGGCGACTTACCTGGGAATCGGTTCTTATCGGGATTTCCATTTCAAGCAACCGGGGTAGATTATGCAGGCCCCATAATGATTAATAGTAGAAAGGGAAGGGGTAGCCAACTATTTAAGTCGTACATTTGTTTATTTGTGTGTTTTTCTACTAAATGTATACATTTGGAATTAGTATCTGACCTTTCTACGCCTACTTTTCTCTTAGCTTTCAAACGCTTTATATCTCGACGGGGAAAACCGTTACACATGTATTCGGATAATGGTTCCCAATTTGTACGGGCAAACAAGGATTTGAAAGAACTAAGTCAATGTCTTCGTAAAAATCAAATTGATATAACAGATTCGTTGAGTAGTCTTGGCATCAAATGGCACTTTGGTCCAGCTTATGCGCCGAAATTTGGTGGTCTGTGGGAGGCCGGCATCAAATCAACAAAATATCATTTAAAACGTTTTATGGGAAACTCTCATATGACCTTCGAAGAATTAACTACCTTATTATCTCAAATAGAGGCTATCTTCAATTCGAGACCTATTTCTCCACTTTCCACCGATCCTCAAGACTTAAATCCCTTGACTCCGGCTCACTTTTTGGTTGGCCGCCCGCTCACATCTCCTCCAGAACAAGATGTAACCGAGATAGCTGAGAACCGGTTAACTCGTTATCAGCGAGTCGAACAATTGCGACAACACTTTTGGCAGCATTGGCGAAAGGACTACGTGAATAAATTGCAGCAACGTTCAAAATGGAAAGGCAGCAATGGTGAGCTTGTTATTGGCTCATTAGTTCTAATCAAAGAAGATGACGTCCCACCACTCAAATGGCCTATGGGACGCATACTCCAGTTATTTCCTGGACCAGACGGAATTAGCCGTGTAGCATCAATCCTTACAGCTTCTGGTGTTATTAAAAGGGCTTACACCAAAATATCTTCCCGTATCCGCTTCAAATTTAAAAGACTAATGTCTTTTAAGGGCCGGGGCATGTTTCTGACTATAATTTGTTCTTGGTTTCCCGGACTAATGGTCTAGTGTATTTTAATAACTATGTGGACCTGATTGTGACGACGCCGAAGACAGTGCATCTGTTGTTCTTTGTTTTTGTATCGCGGCGAGTTGTAAGACAATATATTCATTATTCTGATGTCACCTGATCCTAAATTGTTTTAAACTTTTAAAATGCAACATATTTACGTGGAACAAAAAACGAGACAAGCTTTCGTGGTAGACAAGAAAGCATCAAATGTAATAGAGCTATCATGTAACGAATTTTCAAGTGAAAATTATTCAAATTATTGTTTAAAATAAAACTTATAAAATTACATACAGTCCATTCTCATTAATCCAAAACAGCCCCCTTGTATCTTAATAACCAAGCGATGGGAAACGAAAATTCTCGCTTACTGATAAATATGGTTTATTTACGCGGTATTTTGAACCCACGACGGTCGTAGAAAATAATATTTTTGAATTTTGCCCAGAGTCTACCGAGAGCGTATGTGTGAATTTAATTTTACAGAAGTCGTCTGGCTTCATTTAATAACTAATTGTGGACGGGGAATGATTCAAATACGGCTGAATAAAAAAAAATTAAAAGAAAATAAATTTTATACGAAGTGAGGCGCGGAAATTAATTTAAACGTCTTTTTGGGAAATTAGACGTCATCAGGAGAGAGAGAGAGAGCTCTCTAATCCAGGAAATGGATCGAACCTCCGAAAAAGAAAAAAAAAGATAAAACAATAAAATAATAAAAAATCGAAAACAGGTCGAATCTCTCACTTCGATGTTAACTGGGCGGTTTTTAAAAGAAATTGGATATAGTCGCTGACAAAGAGAGCACTCGGTGTCTAGTCTAGGTCCAACCTCAAATAAAAAATTGCCAACGGTTTCCCACTGAGGGATGAAATAATATATACTGGATGTGAATCAAAATTCTTCACTTGTCACACGGGTGTCCCAACTAATTATATAAAAGCCAATATAAAAAAAAATAATAATATACGGTTCCTACCTTAACAGATAAACGGGGTTAATCGATGAACTAAATCACGGTACTTACGGTACTAGGTACTATTTAAGGGTGAATAGTTTTCGGCTGTCGGCAATCAAGAGAGAAGAGCTTACGGCGGCTGGCAAGCGAGCAGAGAGCGTAATTCCCAGATGGGATTTAATTTATGCTTTTTAGGTAAAGCAAGATGGAAGACCAGTAGGCCCGAGTGGGGATACCACCACTACAGCTGACTGTTTACAATTTACAAATATAAAAAATTGTCCTTCTAGTACCTTGACAATTAAAAGTAGATAATCCATACGAGAAATCGACTCTAAAAATGCCCATTCGGATTTCGGCAAATATAAGAATATTTTATTCTACGAGGGTACTCGCAATTGTTGAAAAACGGTAATTCCTGGGAAACAGAAATACGGGGGAACATCTACATGTTCTCAGGTGGGAATTAATTGAAATATACATTTTTAAGATGAATTAAAAATAAAATTTAGTGACTTCGTCACAAAGACAACCAATAATATTTTTAAATCCAAGCAAAGTTAATCCTAAATTTATCTTTTTAATATGCTATATATTAGTTTAATCCATTTTGAATATTTGTTTTTAGATAAGACAGTTATTCCAGCTGGGACAAATCTTTTCGTGTCGCCATTCGTGACACACAGATTGGAAGAATTCTATCCAGATCCGTTAAAATTCGACCCAGATAGATTTGAAGAAAGCAGGGTAGCCAAAATGCATCCATATTCTTATTTGCCATTCAGTCTTGGACCAAGGAATTGTATAGGTAAATTTTTAAGTCACATTTAAATTTTTCGATTAAAAAAAAAATAATTGATGTAATTCACGCGGGTTACTGATATTTTAAATTTTTTCCCCTGGGTTACAATATAACGTGTCGTCAACAATACCTGTATGCCATGGGATCTGGTAAAACAAGAAATTTATTGAAAATGGCGTTTCTTAGTGACTTTTATGACAACGTCAGTACCAGGTCTGTCAAATGGGTTAGTAACATTGTTTTAATGTTACTACTGAAGTTATTAATGTTACTTTTAGTCCTGATAACATCAATTGTGTGATACGGGTATTGTTGAAGACTCTGTATTATAACTGTATTTAATTCTGCAATGTACATTTTTTGTTATTTTATACTTGTTAAAATCATCTTCCCGTTTCTGTTGACCTTTTTTTAGATATATAAATACCTGTCTATATGTTTTTTTTGTGATTTTGTTGTAGGTTACAAATTTTCAATAATAGAATTGAAAATCCTGTTATTTTATTTTTTGAAGAAGTATGTGATATCTCTGCCTCCTGGAAAAGAAGAAGTTCAAATTAGTTATAGAGCTACGATACGAGCAAGTGGTGGAATTTGGTTAACTTTAACTCCTAGAACATAGTTATACACATATTTTTTTATAAATTAATCATAATAAAAAATACTTAACAGGTTTATGTTAATTTTAAACCGCCAGAAATTGTTTTTTTTCCCTTTATTTTCCTACGTAATAATTATTCACTTTACACCCCAAATGTGATAGTTGGTTGAATTCAGCTCATCAGGAGCATCAAAAATAAGTAAAATAATAAAATAATTAAAAAAATAATGTATTTTTGCTTCACTATGTAGAGGTACGAATCACTCTGTCTAGCTCAACATAATTATTTTCAATGTAAGCGTGTCAGTTGAGTAAGTATTCAAAGTTCTCAATAATTGGTACTAGTAAGTACTTTCATCCTAATGAGACTCAGTACTCAAAAGTTTTCGAGCACTTTATATTTTAGAGTACTTAGTACTTCTGATTCCTACAGATGATGAGTAACGAGCACGAATATCGAAGCGCGCATATACCCCGAATGGACTGAAAAAAAGGATCTTTTTTATTCTTCTTTTATTTCAAAAATAATAGTAATTTAAATCTATTTGCTTATTTGGTGAATTAATGACAAACATTTATTTTACCTATCTATGGTGAATGTAGCCCTTATGTCCCGAGGTATTTATGGTCAATACCCAGGCCGAGACAGTAAGTGCTTAAATAACAAAATTTTTAAATAGTGCCTAATTAATTAAATTATAAAATATGTAGGTAATACATAAGTCATTAATAGAAAAACTCTAGAATATTCTGTGTGCAAAATTATAAATAATGTCGAAAATACCTTGGGAACAGTCGTTTAAAAGTGAATGTTTAATTTAATAAATCGGAAGGCACAGTTCACTTATGTAACCTTCATTAACATAAAAAAACCTGAGAGTAGGGTATTTCCATAGACAGCATCACCGTCTTCCTATCCAGATAAAGAACTATCCATGTAAAACCAGCTATTGGTAGGCCAGGTAGTAAATCAATGTTCTGGTCAACCGATGTACTCTGTCCCCACGATTGAGTCTATGAAGTGAAATACCCTCCAGGTAAACCCTTAAAATATTACAAAATGTGTCAATATAAATTTACTCAAGTTTCCCAAACTATACAATTAATTACCCAAAATGTACCTAAGCTAGAAACTATTAAGTACCTAGAGTCATAAACAGTATTATGAACCCAAATAATTAAAATTCTGATACACCAAGCCATATCATAAAATAAATCGACAATCAAAAGGTGTACAATATTATCAAATATATACAAAACATACCTTTTTCGTAAAGCGTTAAACTGGTAGCCTTCCAATGGTGAAAAACAAGACAGCCTACAGCAACCACATTTAAAGAATCCACTTCAATATGACACACTCAAATGCCAATTTTTTGTCTATAAATCCCTTTAGCGGGTGTGGATTGGGTTCAAAAAACTTGGGAATTTATCAAAAACACTAATTCCGCTAAAATATCATTTACTCGTTCTTCCACAATTAATACTGGAAGAAAATCTAGAAATCCCTCTGATAGAATAACTCGTTGGTTATATAAACTCATTTTGCCAGATCAATGTATAAAATAAAGATTTTACTCCTCAGACAAAATTTGAGGTTCTTTGCCTTTCTTTACCTGTCAATTCGATCATGTATTAGGATAGATACGCCTTACTGTGGAAGTAATGGGTTTAATGATTATCTAGACGGGGAGAGAGGAAAGGTATACAAACGGAGAACTTAGCAGTGCCGTACCGTATGGAAGGGGTTATATATTGTTAATTACTATAAAATGCTAGATGAAAGCGGATGGACATGCTTTTAAAAATATTGTTTTATAGCGTATATTTTTAACTTTCTATGTAAGAATAGTTTTTCACAGTATTGTGATACTACATAGACCATGCACAGGCTTGTCATATTGTATATTATTTACTCAATTTTATAGGATTATTAATTTTGTGCTTTAAACAATTTGTATACATTTTGAGTAAATATACCTACTATAAAGCTTGACTGATGAAGGAGAAAAGAAAGTAGAAAAATATTGTGAAGAACCCGTTTTATAAGTGAAGCAAGAATATTATACATATTTCTGACTACATACCTTACTTTATGAAATAAAATAAAGACCAATTAAAGCATTTTATTTATCAACCAAAAATAGTTATACACAAATAATAATAATAATAATACTCTCCCTAATTACGGAGATTAATGAACTTTATTATTTACAAAGTACCGTAGCAAAATTTTGCCGTACACAAGTTAGAGGGAACAGAAGAAATAATGGCATTGTGTTTGTTCTTTATTTTAACAATTCTGACAATGCATGAAGTGGTGTGACTAATTTAAAATGGGTAGCGTCGCTTGACATTTTCTGATATTTTTAAATACCTATAATAAGAATCCCTTATTTAAAATGGTTATATTTGGACAGATGGCTATTTTTTAAAAATTTAAATGCAAATAAAAACCTACAATAAATAGGTACATATTATATATAATTAAAAATAAGCTTCAAAATTTATTTTCATTTTTTTAAAATAATATTTAAAGTAGTTCATGCGCAAGACGGATTTTCTTAAGAATTCAATAAAATTAAAATATAAGGTTAAAGAAAATGCCTTTTACGTACCTAAGTAAAAAAACAATTTTTTTTGACCGTCTGTGAAACGAGATATTAACAATGAAATTGTGCATAATTAACAGTTTTGAAGCCTGTCATGTACATAAGCAATGCATTTATTTCAAGATTATTTCGAAAATGGTTCTTACTATATTTTTTTAAAAACTAATGTAATGTAAATCAAAAAGTTATACAATTTTCTAAAAAAACGTTGAATTTTTTGACCGTTTTGGTAAAAAGATAGATTTTTAAAAGAAAAATATGTTTAAAGCAGTCGACGCGACTTATAAGTCTCTCGTTGAGAGGAATGTTTTTAAAAAGAATTTTTATTGCTATTGCTTGAATAAAAACCCAAAATAAATTATATTTAATATTTAATGGTAATCTTGTCGTTACAAGCTATTATATCAGACTGACTTTATTTTATTAAAATGTTACTATGAGAAAAAGTTAGAGTCAGCAATTCACACACTTCACATAGGTTCAGTAACACTGCCGGCCACCCGATACCGTTTTCCTGTAAAAGGTATATGGGGTCATCGATCATAACTCCTCCACCCTTGGACCTTGGCATATTTTACGGAGTGAAAAATGCCCTTGGAATTGGATTGGGGGCTTCAAGTGGTTGACTTTCTTCTATAGCTTCTTCTTCTTTTTTTAACTTGGGATGTCGGTAAATTTGGTTTTTTCTTATCTCTAATAAATTTAATGGTGGCATAAACTATGACAACTCCTAATAATAAATACATTATAATATTTAAAGGATTTACTGAATAATTGTTTTTGAGGTGGTGCAATATTATTGGTTTTATTTGATTCTGTCTCGCTTGAATTAAATGAATTTCATCAAGAGGTTCATCTTTTAAATTAATTTCTGCTATTTCTTCTGTATTTCTGGAGTACGGGATGGTTATCTCTGGTAGCAATAGGGGTTGGCCCATTGACATAAAATTTTCATTGGTAAAAATTTTGTTTTCAATTTTAATTTGGCATTGGTATGGTATAAAAATTAAATAATTTCCTTGAAGTATAGTAAAATCGGTCCTACCACATTTAGTTTCGATTTTAGTTTTATTCACAAAAATACCAATATAGTGTGATTGGTCAATTTGTTGGATAACATTCCTTGATACTTTGATTGGCGTTCTCTGGCATCCCCTGGTATTGGATTGCAATTGGAGCAACTGAAATATGCAATCCTCTGTTTCGATTCCATCGGCTAGGTCATCATCAGTACAGTAGTAGTTGGTTTTCAGGTTGATACATGGTAGCGATGTGTATTGGTAGAGGTTTTCGTTCATCATCAGATAGGTATTACGAGGAATTATAGTTGTGGAATTTAAGGTAGGAATTGAATAAAGGTGATAGTATGAAAAGTTTTCAGGAAAAACTATGGGAAAATGGAGAGCGAAAACGATCTTAGAATCAGAATAATAAGCATATATTTTTAGAATTTCATAGTATTTGTAAGTATCGTTGATTGAATTTGTAAAAAGAAGTTCGTCTATCGAATGGTACTTTAAAACAGTTTTTATAACTGATTTTATCTCTTCTGGTTTTATTATGCTAGGATGTAAAACTCCTAATCGTGCAAAGGTTACAGAATTTTCTATTTCTCCTAAAAGTTGAATAATGATGCCTAAACTTAAATTTAGTTGATCTAAAATATTTCGAGTTTGTAAGTAATCATTAAATTGAAAAACAAATTGATTTAAAGCAGTTCGAATTCTTTCTATTCCTGCACATATTACTTCTTGATTACTTTTTATTAAAGATATTGTTTTGTTAAAATTTTGAATAATATCTTTTGTAAGTGAAATTTGTTGATTTACTTTTTGTACAATTTCCAATTCATTGTTTTGAAGATCAGAAATGGCTTGATCATAATGAAATGCATCATTTGCATCTAAATTGCCAGAAATACTTTTAATTATAGAACCTAAACCATCAATAAGACCACGTTTTACTCTACTAGGAGGCATTAGGGAATTTAATTTGTTATCTGCTAATGTTAATTGATAAAGAAGTGCTCGATCAAAATTTTCTAACTCTATATGATAAGGGCTGCTAAGCTTATCTTGAATGGCATCAGTTACATTTTGTAAGCAAATTTTAAAATTTCAATTTCATCTTTTATAGGTGCTAAATCATAATAATGAAGAAATGTATGTACCGTTGATTTTACTTTAGCTGTGCCTAAAAGATAGGGAAGGATACCAGGATTATTAATTAGGTTCGTCAATTGTATCTCTTGAGGCCTTACTTGTAGAGGGACCAGGATCATTAGGATCAGTGGCGTCCTGTAAAAGTTTTGTCTTGTTAGTTTTTGGTCTTTTAAGTATTTGTTTATGTAATAAAGCCTTTTTATGAGTTTTTACTTTTATACTTTCATTATCTAAAACTTTATCTTTATAGAATTTTGGATTTAACTTGTTTCTGACTTGCGTTGTATTTTTTGTGTAAACGTCAGTGTCAGGTATGTACGTTAGTGGTTCATGTCGATCTTTATTGTGATATCCTATTGTCTTTTCTTTCTGCGAGATTAGTTTCTCATTTAATTTTTTGTAAATTTCGGTTGTGGTTT